GAGTTCAGACCATTGATGTTTAGAGTTATTATTGAAGAGTGTGGATTGGTGGCTGCCATTTTACTTTCTATTTGTGTTCTTAGTCTTATTTTATTTCTGTTCTCTATACCTTCATTTGTTTTCCTCTGTAACCTCTTGGGTCCTTGTACTGCTTTGAATATTCTCCAGTCTGGTTTGGTGGGCATGAATTATTTCAACCTATTCACATCATGGAAGATCCTTTCTTTCTCTTTTGATTATGATAGACAGTTTTGCTGGTTAAAGTACCACCATCATTTAGAACTGAGAATACTTTGGTCCAGGCTCTTCTGGCTTTCATAGTTTGCATTGAAAAGTCAGCTGTAATCCTAATGGGTTTCCTTTATATGTGACTAGTTTCTCTTTTGCAGCTTTCAGTATTGTCTCTTTGTTTTGTACATTTAGTGTTTTTACTATGATGTGCCATGGAGAGTACTGACTTTAATAATGTGCTATAAAGGAATATGGCATCCACATTTGTTGTTGCAATACATTTTTACTTATTTTTCTAAAGTCCCTGGCTCCACTGGTATATTCCTGCATAGCTGCAAAAATAGAGCTAAGGGTGTACTTTAGCACTTCTGAAGTTTCTCTTCACTGAAAAGAATATAGACGATCCAGTGCCTCCAAACAAGTTAATAAGTGACTATCCTAAAGATTTTCATAGTTTGTTGAAAAGTCAGCTGTAATTCTGATGGGTTTTCCTTCATATGTAACTTTCGGTTTTCCTCTAACAGCTTGCAGTACCCTCTCTTTGTTCTGTACATTTAGTGCTTTTACTATGCTATGCCATGGGAGTTTCTGTTCTGGTCCTGTCTAATTGTGTCCTTCTTGTATCCGTAGGTTTGTCTTCCCTTAGCTCAGGGGAGTTGATTCTATAATCTTGTTGAAGGTCTGATGATGCCATTGACCTGATATTCTTCTCCTTTCTCTATGGCTATTAGACATAGATTTGATCTTTTTATGGCGTCCCACATTTCCTGCATATTTATTTCCTGTGTTTTAAAATATTTTTTATATCCTTTGCTTTAGTGGTCCAGTTCTTCAGCTTTCCTGTCCAGTCCTGATATTCTGTTTTCTATTTCATTTATTCTGCTGGGGAGACTTTTCAAATTGGATTATTGAATTTTTCAATTCAATCTTCATTTTGGCTTGAGTTTTTTTCAATATTTTTACTTCCTTTGTGAATTCACTTTTCAAGTCCTGTAATTTTTTTTACCATTTTATTAAGCTGTATGTTTGTTTTTTTCTTAAGCATCAGTCAGGAGTTTATTACTATCCTTTCTGAGTTCTTTGAGTTGTTTGTTTGTCTGTTCTTTAAAGTTACTGAATTCTTTGATTATATTTATGATTGTTCTTTTAAATTCTGCACCCTGGCCTTCCTCTCAGTGGTTCTTATCGTAGTGCCCTTCTGTAGCAGTGCTGGGTTTGGGGGAGGGCATATTCTCTTGGTTTTTCATACTATTTGTGTTTTTGCATTGTGGTTTCAGCATATGGATGTTGGTTGTGTGTCTGATATGAAATTCTCAGCTGCCTTTGTTTAGGTGACGTTTGGTCTGTTTACGTGTTAGCTTGGTTAGAGTGTGTGCTTCAGGTTCTACCTTTTGATTTTTTTTTTTTAATTGGCGGGCTGGTTTCCAAGCTGATTAGTGAAGAGCTCTCCAGTAGGGTGAAGGGACTAGTCCCACTTTAAGTCTGTGAAAGTCCAATGGCTGGGTTCAGGGAGGGTAGTCAGGAGGTCTAAGGCAGGAAGATCAGGAGAGGTCATAGGGAAAAAGCTGGGGGGAGTGTACAAGTGAGGAAGGGCTAACTAGTTTGGCAGACTAGGTGTTGATCCTGGAGCTGGTCTGGGTACAGAGGGATCAAAATGCAGTGGGTGGGGTCTTTGGTAGGAAGAACAAAAGGGGGCCTAGGCACAAGATGGGACTGAGGATACTGAGGGGAGAGACAGTATACCTGATGAAGGTGCAGGGAGTCAAGCCCCAGTGGGAAGGTTCTGATTTACCAGGGTAGTCTCGAGAGCCCAGGCAGAATGATCAGGAGAGGGGACTAGGGTCAAGGCAGAGGTGGGAACAGCTTGGGGAGGGTCTAATAAACTATCGAGAGTAGGTGTGGGCTCTGAAGCTGGAGAATGTAGCTAGCCTGTGTGTAGGGGATCAAGACACAGTTGGCAGGGTCTGCATAAGGAGGCTAGTCCCAAAGTCTCAGGCAGCAAGTACAGGAGCTAGTCTAGGTTCAAGACTGGAATGGAGATATGTGGTCAGGGTGCAGGAATATCAAGTCTCAGTCAGTAGGGTCTGACTCACTAGGCAATACCTGAGGTCCCAAGGGAGATTAGCAGGAGGGAGCGTAGGCCCAAGGCATGAATGGGAACAGTCTGAGGAGACAGAATGTAGCTGGTCAGGGTGTAGGGTAATCAAGATGCAAGAGTATAGCTTATCAGGGTAGTCTGAAGGTCTCAGGTAGGATGATCCAGGAGGGGACCGCGGACCAAGCGGGGATGGCTGAATCAGTTGACATAGTAAATAAGACCCCACCCTCCTTTCCTTGTAATTATTTATTTTTATTTCATATGTGCTGAGTTGATTTTTATTGTAAACATAGTACATATAATTAGAGAATACTGAGTTGCATACTAATTGAAATGATTTTATTGTGCCTCTACATTTGATTGATAATTTGGCTAAGTACTGAATCTGATTCCTGGCATTTTCCCATTGTATTCTGTCAAGTCATGAAATGAAAGGGTGGCGGCAACCTGAGGGTGTGTGAGGGAGCTTGAAGAGGCCATGAAGGGAGGGAAAGAATAAGAAAGTTAGGCACAGGAAATGCTGTAGGAGCAGAAGGTTGGACTTTCTTTTGGGTCCTTGAAGAGGCCATGGAGGGAGGGAAAGAATAAGAAAGTTAGGCACAGGAAATGCTGTAGGAGCAGAAGGTTGGACTTTCTTTTGGGTCCTTGAAGCTAAGATATTAGGGGCATGATCAGAGTACAAACAGATATGTTAGTCTGTCACTACTGTGTAAGAGGCAGAATTTAAAAGGAGGGAAACTTTTGGGGCATGCAGTTTTAGTCCATGATGGAAGGCAGAGAGAGAGAGAGAGAGAGAGAGAGAGACTTTTCAAAGGCACCCTCCCCTTCCCTTGACCTGCATCCTACAGACAGACCTTATCTCCTAATAGCCTATTCAGTATGAATTCATCAGTGGTACAACTCATTGAGGAGGTTAGTATCCTCCTTAGCCAATCACCTCTCAATGGTTGGTCCTCCATCCCAGATCAGGACTCCAACACATGATCCCTTTGGTACACTTCATATCCAAACCATACCCACAGGCAATCAGAATGTGTGAGGTTTAATTACTGCACTGGCAGAGGAATTGCCATTATTAAAAGCCATGTTGGCCAGGCCTAGATAAGAACATTGGGGTGAGTAGCTGAGACAGGACACAGGGAAAACATCCCTGGAGGAGACACGCTTGGAGACCAAGGCTTTTTAAGAAATTATGGATATCTAACAATTGCAAAGCCATGATAGTCTGAAGAGTGATACGGTGGAGAGGTGTGCCCTGGGTTATACCAGCACTCACAGAGCTTTGTCCTGGAGGCCGAGATCCAGATAGAGGCGGTGAGCAGCACCGTGAGGAGAGCAGAGCTGAGCAGACGCTGTCTTGGCGCGTGCTGTAAGGTGTGTTACATTCTAACAAAGGGAATAGTGGGCCACACTTGTTAGCGCTGGTCTTTGGATAAATGAACCATCACTGTGACATGGTGCTGTGAAAAAATCGAGGTAGGTCGACTGTGGAATTATATGTTGAAGTAAATAATGCGGGTAGGGAAAGATTTCTTCAAATGACTAAAACACTTCATATGAAAAAAGTTGGATAAAACTGTACATGAATTTAAGAATTTCTGTCCTGAAAAGAGATGTAGAGGGAAAAGAAAAGCCAGAGAGCGCCGACGATGCCGATGGTGCATCACTGACGGTGACTCACGAGTTGGATATGACACGCTCCTGCAAATCAGTAAAACAACGAAGGCTCAGACAGCAGAAGCGTGGGCAAGACACTTAACACATTTCACAAAAGCGGATATCCGATGATCAAAAATGTTAAATGCCAGACAAATCGTCCTGGTGTCTCAGAACCCTGCAGAGACGGCCATACTAAAAACGGCAGCGGGGTGTATGAGGAAGAGCACACCAGGACCTCAGGTGGAAATATCCTTAACGGTAGTGGAACCTAAGTATCTAAGGACGACATACACATTTCTTGAGATGTGTCTATGAAAGAAGTAGGTAGATGCATGCTTTGAAAGGTGCTCATGGGAGCACAGCTTCCAATAGCATAACAAGGAGTTCCTTAAGTACCTGGTGAGGTCAGTGGAGAACTGAGCTACTGCATTTATACGATGCGGTTCTGCACCAGTAGCAGACATGTGTGGACTCCTGCTCCCCACAATCCTGTGGGTGAATCTCAGTCCAGGTGTCACCTAAGGAGGTGATACCCACAGTTAAATGACAATGCTGTTTGCATCATTGACCCTACGATTTCAAACCTGGATGGTGGCACTAGTTTATGCTGGCATGCTGCTTCTGATTTGTCCTCTGCAGAGCAGCTCCAGGGCTTTCCTGTGGCCCTCTGTGTCACATGCAGATGAACAAGCACATCTGCACACACACACACACACACACACACTCACACACACACACACACACAGACACACACACACACAGCCCTTTTGTATAGGTGGCCCTAGCAAGCTTGTTAGTTCAGTTCTTAAATTATGACAGAGCTTGGCCTTGAATCTACATTTTTTTTTTCAGTGACCCTTCCTAAGAAGAGTTTCAGATTCCCACTCACCCAAGAAAGCAAGACTCCTTAATCTTAAATATTTGATACAAGAATAAAAATGTTCCAACTTAGAAAAACATTTTTCTGTCACTGAATGGGCTGTTTTTCCTTTGGAATTCCTTGTTGCTGTAGTACCTCAAGGGCATGACGCTGGAGACCTTTGCAGTCATTGTCACACAGATGCTGGGCCTCAGTCTGGGAATATCACACGATGATCCAGTGAAATGTCACTGCCCAGCAGCTGTCTGCGTAATGAATCCAAAAACCATGTAAGCTTTTTGAAAAGCTTTATTTACTGGTTATGCTTATTTTGTTTGAAATGTTGCATTTACTTGTAATACAGATAAACTGTAAAGAGACCAAGTTCATAACAAAATACATACTTGCAATTTTAAAAATGAACAGCGTGGAGGAGGTATGCTATTAAGGATTTGAGTCAAGGAGAAGAGTTGAATAGTATTCTCTCGTGTAAATGTATGTAATTTCATTATCCATTCATCATTTCATGGCCATCTATAGCATTTCTATATCCTGGCTTTTGTGACTAGAGTAGCAACAGCAGGTATATAGGTGTAAAATGCAGAGTCCTGTGGGTATATGCCCTGAGTGGTATGGCTGAAAATGCAGAAAAACTGTGTTTAGTTCTTTGGATCCCGCACACAGATTTCTGTAGTGGCTGCACCAGTTCTCACTCTCAGCAGTAAGAGTCTCCCTTTCCCCACATCCTCACCAACATTTGTCCCTGTCCGTTCTTTGGATCTCAGCCATTGTGACTGGGGTAAGTTGAAATCTCAGTGTTTTAATTTGCATTATGCTGATGGCTAAAGATGATGAACATTAAAAACAAATTTCTTTTTTCTTTTTTTTTTTTTTTTTTGGTCTTTTTGAGATAGGGTCTCCCTGTAGCCCCAGCTGTCCTGGAACTCACTACATACACCAGGCTGGCCTTGAACTCACAGAGATCCTCCTGCCTCTGCCTCCTGAGTGCTGGGATTAAAGGTGTGGGCCACCATTTGCATTTCATCATTTGAGAACTCTGTGTTTGGATCCCTGCCCCAGGTTTTAATTGAATTGTCTTGTTGATGTTTAGCTTTCTGAGTTCTTCAGCTTGTAGACACTAGCCCTCTGTCAGATATTCAGCTGGTAAAGATTTTCTTTCACATTTGTAGGCTGCCTCTTCCTGGAGTGATGGTATCTTTTGCTGTACAGAAGCTTTTCAGTTTCATGAGGACCCATTTACCAATCGTTGGCCTTAATGTCTGGGCTGTTGGGGTCCCGTTCAGAAAGTCCTTTCCTGTGCCTTTAAATTCCTGTGTGCTCCCTACTTTCTTCTCTATCCTATTCAGGGTGTCGGGTCTTATCTTAAGGAATCTGATCCATTTGTAGGTGAGTTCTGTGCAGGGTGAGAGATAAGGACCTAGTTTCATTCTTCTCCATGTATCTGGCAGAGTTCTGTGCAGTATACACATGGTCGTGGACAATATTCAAGGATGAAAAATTTTACATTACTGCTTCCACTTTATCGGTGGTTCTGGATCTATTTAAATTGTTTACCACCTTTTAGTCTAATTTTTCAGGTCATATATACCTAGAAAGTTATTAATTTCTTAGAGAGTTTCCAGTTTAGTGGAAGACAGATTATTACAGTATGCTCTCTGAATTTCCTCAGCAGCTATTGCCATGTTTCCCCTTTCAACTCTGACTGTATTGAGTCGATTCCTCTCTCTCTTTCTTTGGCTTCCTTTGGCTAAAAATCTGTCAACCTTGTTAAACTCTTCAAAGAACCGACTCTTTGTTGCATTGATTCTTTGTATTGTTACTTTGTTTTTATTTCATGAACTTCCACCCTGACTTGGATTCTCTCGTCTCATCTACTCTTTTGGTGGTTGTTTATTTTTGTTTCTCTAAGGCCTCCAGGTGTATCATTAAGTTATTAATATGAGATTGCTGCAGTTCTTTTGATGCTGACACTTCGGGAACTTTCCTCTTAGGAATGCCTTCATTGTGTCCATAGATTTTGGTATGCTGGGTTTTCATTTTCCTTCAGTTGTGGGAATTTTGAAATTTCCTTCTTGATTTCCCTTTGGCCCAATTTTCATTCAGTGTGTGTTCCTAGTTTGTATGATTTGTGTCCTCTCCCCATTTCTGTTGTTACTATTCAGCTTTATTCGTTTGTGGTCAGATGGAATACAGGATATTATTTCAATATTCTTAAATATTTTGAGACTTGCTTTGTGTTCCAATTTATGGTTGATTGGGGGAAAGTTCTGTGGGTTGTTGAGAAGAAAGTGTATTGTTTGCAATTTGATTGGAATGTTCTGTAAATATCTATTTGGTCCATTTGATTTATTATGTCACTTAACTCCTGAGTTTTTAATTTAATTTTTTTTCAGATTGTCTATTAGTGAGACTAGGGTACTGATGTCTCCTGCTGTCATTGTGTCAGATTTAATGAATGATTTTAGGTCTGACAGTGTTTCTTTCTGAAGTTGGGTCTCCCAGTGTTTGATGTGTATGTATTTGAGATTTGCAATATCCTTTGGGTGGATTTTCCCATTAATGAGTTTTAAATGTTCTTCCTTATTTTTGGTGACTTGTTTTAGTTTGACGTTTATTTTGTCAGGTAATAGAAGAGCTATGATGCCTGCTTGTATATCAGTTCCATTTCCTGGGAATACCTTTTCCCATCTTTTTACCCTTTGGTGAGGTTGATCTTTGATGATGAGGTGTGTTTCGCGGAGGCAGCAAAAAGATGGATCCTATTTTTTAATCAAATCTGTTAGACTGTGTCTTCTTATTGGGAAAAGAGATCATTAAAGCTGAGAGTTATTATCAACCAATGCTTATTAATTCCTGCTATGCTAATAGTTTAGTGTCTTCTTAGAACTCTTTTGTTTCAATTCAGTTCTGGAATTGTTTACATGTTCCTGTGCCCTCTTGGTTGTGCTTAGTTTTCTCCGCAGATGAAGGTATTCTTTCTTCTGTCTTCTGTAGAGTTGGCTTGTTGAATACGAATTCCTCAAATCTGTTTTTATTGTGGAAACTTTTTCTTTCTCCCTCAATCACAACTGATAGTTTTGTGAATAAAGTTGTCTGAGCTGGCACCTGTGTTCTTTCATGACTTCTAGGACATCAGTCCAAGGCCACTTGGCTTTCACAGTCTCCACTGAAAACTCTGCTGTTATTCTGCTATCCTTTACCTGTGACTTAATCTTTCTCTCTCATAGCATCCAATGTCTTTGTTCTGTACAACTAGTGTTTTAAGTATTATATGACATGGAGAGTTTCATTTCTGGTCCTGTCTACTGTGTGTTCTTTATGCCTCCTGCATCTTGATAGGTGTCACTATTTTTAGGTTTGGGAAATTTTCTTCTATTGTTTTGTTGAAAATATTCTCTATCCCTTTGATCTGGGATTCTTCTAATTCTTCTAAACCCATGATCCATAGGTTTGGGTTCTTTATAGTGTCCCAGGGGACCAATGCTCCAGTCCTCTGTTATTTTAGATCTTATGTTTTCTTTTACTGCTTGAAGCCGTTTCATTGTGTTTATCTTCAGTATCTGATACTCTCTCTTATGCTTGGTCCAATTTATTCTCTGAGCTTTTCTGTCTGACTTTCTGAGTTTTTCATTTGGAGTTTTATGTCAGTTTGGCTTTTCTTCAGAGGTTGTTTCTTTGTTGAATTCTGATTTCATGTCTCGAATTGTTTCAGTTATTTCATTCAGCAGTTGGTTCCTGTCTACACAGCCTTCAATCTTTTATTGATATCCTCCTTGAGTTTCTTAAATGTATTTTTCAAAGGCTCCATTGAAGTTATTGTCTTGTAAATCAGCTAGGCTGCTTTTCTAAGGACACGTTTTCATGGAGGGCTGCTAATTCCTGGAGGAGGTATGTTGTCCTAGTTACTCATGTTGTGTGTGTTTTGGGGTGAGACCTAGGCACCTGAAATTATGTTATTGGTGGCATTTCCTGGTATGGATAGCTGATCTCTGCTTTGTTGAGTGGGTGTTTGGATCTTTCTTTGCTGTTTCCCCAACTTGTCAGGTTGTGTCCCAGCTGAGTGGTGCTTGATGTTCATTCTTGAGGCCACTTTATGTTGATGTGCAAATGAGGTGTAAGAAATGGTCTCAGTTTAGCTGGGGATAGGTGGAACTTCTGAGCCCAGGGTTCCAGGACAGATTCCAGGAGGTCCTGGAGGGATAGGCTGTGCTGGGTCAGTTGGGCAGGCAGATTGGTCAGTGTGGATTTTTGATTAGAGGGATGGGGTGACTGCAATTCAGTGGTAACGAAGAAATCATGCAAATGTAATTTTTGAACGGGTCTTTCTGGCCTGATGTACAGGCTGGGAGTGTGGAGATGGCCACAGGGATGGGGGAAGGTCTATAGAACTGACCAAACTAGGCTGGGAGAAAAATGTGTGACAATCGAGCTAGGTCCTGGGGGAATGGGATGAAAGAAAGAACACTGAGGCCAGGGAGCTCACAGGCCTGGTGGACGGAAGGAGCCGTGCGACCTGAGCAGAGCTGGGAGTCGGGACTGCACGCAGGGAGTCTCTTTGTTATTTTATATCAGGATTCTGCTTTTGCTTTGTATCTATTTATTAAAGTGACTAAATGTATTCCAATGAATAAAATCTCATGGTCTCCTCCAGAGTGACTATAGACACCTATTAGAAATATTCAGTATTGCCCATTAAACAATACTGTGAATTTAATGTATGACATGGAATGATGCTTTGAGAAAATTCTGTGACATTATTTGCATTAATCTTTAGGCAGACCAGTGGCAGGAAGATTTTCAGCAATTGCAGTTTGAATGACTTTCAAAATTTCATTTTGAATGTGGGTGCCAAATGTCTTCAAAATAAACCACAATTTCAAGTGAGTCCGAGACCATTCTGTGGAAATGGCATTGTGGAGGGAAAAGAAGCTTGTGATTGCGGTAATAAAAACGTAAGTCTGATAACTAGGAAAATCGAAAATAAATCAATAAGTAATAAACAATGAAATTTATTCTTTTCCATAAGTATTCTACTTCTGAATGTTGACTGAATACCATGCAGAGTCCTGGTGGTAAATGACGAAAGTGATGTCTCACAGGCGTGCGCTCAGCAGGTGTCACAGGTCACAGGAGTGCACTCTGCCTGTGTCACAAGTAACAGGTGTGCACTCCGCAGGTGTCACAGGTCACAGGAGTGCACTCTGCCGGTGTCACAAGTAACAGGTGTGCACTCCGCAGGTGTCACAGGTCACAGGAGTGCACTCTGCCGGTGTCACAAGTAACAGGTGTGCACTCCGCAGGTGTCACAGGTCACAGGAGTGCACTCTGCCGGTGTCACAAGTAACAGGTGTGCACTCCGCAGGTGTCACAGGTCACAGGTGTGCACTCCTCAGGTGTCACAAGTAACAGGTGTGCACTCCGCAGGTGTCACAGGTCACAGGAGTGCACTCTGCCGGTGTCACAAGTAACAGGTGTGCACTCCGCAGGTGTCACAGGTCACAGGAGTGCACTCTGCCGGTGTCACAAGTAACAGGTGTGCACTCCGCAGGTGTCACAGGTCACAGGTGTGCACTCCTCAGGTGTCACAGGTTGAGTTGGAACAAATTAAATTGTGCTGCAAGGTTTATTGATTGGTGAAGTTTACAGTAAGGCTTTGCATTCATGTGAAATATGAGACTTGCACATCTCTCCCTAACCTTTACATACTTTATGAATGTGTATTTAGGATGAAGCTGTCATCGGTCCAACACATTGGTTTCAGAACATAGCTTTGTCATGGCTTTGGCAGCGTGCGGAGTGGATCTGTGCTGTGACACATACTGAGTGCTTGGTCATTTTGACCACTGGCCTCGAAGGAGGCCCTGAAAACATACTGAGCGCAAACAGGACAGGTGATATGGTACCTGCAGTGACATCATGAAGTACTCACTTAAGATAGGAATAGTAGGTTTCTTAAATACCTCAAACTAAATTACTTGACTGCATCTTACATTTTAAAAGCAACTATGTCTAGCATGAGTGGTGGCACATGCCTTTAATCCCAGTGTTCAGGAGGCAGAGACAGGTGGATCTCTGTGAATTCGAGGCCAGCCTGGTCTACACAGCGAGTTCCAGCCAGCTGGAGCTACAGCAGGGAGACCCTGTCTCAAAAAGACCAAAAAAAAAAAAAAAAAAAAGATCTTACCATTGCTTAGAATAAGTTCCCCTTTACTCTTATTAATTTCCTTACAAAAGTTTTCCTGGGTTGTAATCTACACAAAATCAAGCACACCAATTTATGTGCAGAGTGATGAGTTTGACAGACACGTGGAACTCTGACTGCAAGGAGATGGATCGCTCCTCTTTGCAGCCTGCACCCTGCCTTCCTCCAGCCTCTCCCCCTCTGCTTGTCTCCAGGCAGCTTCCCGTCCTGTCACTTTTCTCAATACAGGAACCATTTAAGTGAACATGCGGTACACGGGTCTCCTTATCTTGCTTCTTCCTGTCCAGTTTTTTTGAGATTCTTCCACATTGCTTCAAAGTGCAATGGTTCTCACCGTTGACTTTGTCTTACAGCACAGTGCGTTTTCTCTCATGCGTCTCCTAAAGTCAGTTGTTGTAAATGCCTGAGTAGTTCTGGGTTCTCGCTTTGTCCTTAGCTCTCCATGTGTGTTTCTCTGTTAATACCATGCCATTCTGGTGTTATGGCTCTGTGGTATGTTTAGTACTCAGTATATTGCTTTTTTACTTCTTTGGTGTTTTTAGGACTTCTTCAGCTTTCATGTCTTCTATGATGGCCTACAAATTTTAGGATTCTTTTCCTGCATCTTTGAAGAATGCTGTTGTTAATTTGGTAGGAATAGCTTTGATTCTCTAGCTCACTCTGGTTAGTAAGAACATTGTATTAGTATCAATTTTTCCAGTTTATGAAAGTGGGATGCCTTTCCTGTGTGTTTGTTTGTGTGTGTGTGTGTGTGTGTGTGTGTGTGTGTGTGCACGTGCATGTGTGCATATGCATACAAATTGGGGAGGGGTTGGTTCTTTCCTTCCACTATGTGGGTCCTGGAGATCAAACTCAAGTCAGTGGGCTTGATGGCAAGTGTCCTTACTTGCTGAGGCTCATATTTCTTTTAAAAAGCTTTATTTTTATTTATTCATTGAAAATTTCATATACTTTGTCCTCATTTGGTTTCTGTGATAAACATTGACCAAAACCGACTTGGGGAGAAAGAATTTATTTCATTTTACAACTCTGTCACAGTCCATCACTGAGGGAAGTCAGGGCAGGAACTCAAGGCAGGAACCTGGAGGCAGGAAGTGAAGCAGAGACCACGGAGGAGCGCTGCTCACCGGCTTACTCCCCCTGGCCTACTTAGCCACCCCTCTTACATAACCCAGCTGCCCAGGGATGACACCACCCACAGTGGGATGGGCCCTTCTGTATCAGTGCCCCACAGACATGGCCACAAACCAGTCTGATGGAAAAAATGCCACAATTGACAATCCCTCTTCCCAGGTGACTCTAGTTTTGTGTCAAGTTGACAAACACTAATCAGTGTACATGCATGCAATTTATCCTGATAATATCCACCCTTCAGTTACCCTCCTGACTCCTCATCAAACCCCATCACATCTCCCTCCCAAGTTCATGTCTTCCATTTATCTATCATCTATGTATCTATGTATCTTAATCTATCTATCATCTATCTATCAATCATCTATCATCTTAACCCACTGAGTCAAATTAATGGTGTTCATATGCACATGAGCATGAGGTCATCCACTTGAGTATGGAGAACCTACCAGACACCACACTGCTAAAGAAAAGTGAGTCTCCCTCCCCCCAGCAGGCATTAGTCAGTCAATAGCTCCTCAGCTAGGGCTCTCAGAGTTCCCACCGATCCGTGCTGGAATTTAAAAAAGATTTTTGTCTCCCTGGAAGATGCCACTATCAGACAAGGTACACAGGTTATGTGTGGTTTTGTAGATCAGAGTATTCACAGTTGATAAGACTGTTATTTTCTCCGCCTGAAGTCTGCATAGCACCTTCCAAGCTGATGAAAGCTAGCACGCTCTGATGCAGCTTGGTTTGTCTATACCATACATCCAAGGTGGATGCTGTCTTCAGCAATAGGGTCTTATCTGATCTGCTGGGCAACCAAGAGGAACGGCAAGAGCTTCATAGTTTTGAGGATCTCTGGGGCCTCTCTGACCCACAGTGCAGAAGGAGGGTCCCCCCGGCACTGAGGGAGAACAGTGCAATGCAATGTCTGTTTTCCTGTGCTGGGCTACCTCAATGTATTTTCAGTTCCATCAATTTACCTGTGAATTCTACAATTTAGCTTTCATTATAGCTGAATAAAATTGCATTGTGCATATATACTGCATTTTCATTACCCATTCATCAGTTTATGGACATCTAGGCTAATTCCATTACCAAGCTATCGTGAACAGGGCAGCAATGAACATGGATGAACAAGCATCTCTGTAAAAGGATCTAGAGGCCTTAGGATCTGTGCTCAGGATGGAGAAGCAGGGTCCTGTGGAAGTTCTGTGTCTGGTTTTTGGAAAGTGATCTGCATTGGTTTCCTCACTGGCTGCACAGTTTTCACACATACCAGCAGTGAAGGAGGACTTGACACCTGAATACAGCCGTTCTGACTATGGTGACATGGACCTCAAGGTAGTTTTAATTCGCATTACCCTGAAGGCTAAGTAAGGCACTGAATACTTTACAGAATATTTATTGGCTCTTTGTGTTTCCCCAGAAACAAATACTAAAGTTAACGTTTTTGAATTCCAATCACACACACATTAGACTGTTCAGTGTTGTCTCACGTTTAGTTGGAACACTGCTTTTTTTCCATTTCTCTCTCATGATTTCTGTTGGGATGTTTGTTTCTATTACTGTTCCTGGATGTTTCTCTGCAGTGTCTCGTACACTGTAAATGCTGAGCCATCTCACCAGCCCTCTACTGTTCTTTGAAACCTAAGCAACTATGAGTGCTGCATATAATTGGAAGCTCTTGTTAGATGATTCAGCATTCAATAATAACCTCACAACTTACTAATCAGCAGTTCAAGCAGTCTTTTGAAGTCACCAGGATCATCACGGTCTGTTTGTGAAAACCCCTCCCAAGCTTTCGCTTCAGTTCTTCTCTATTTGATTGTGGTTCTTCTTTACCTATTATACCCAACTTCTGTGAAAAGTTATTCATGTATTTTTCTAAAGCTTCTAATTAGATAGGAAGAGAGGTAGCATATCAGTCTATTATGACCTAAAGCAAAAGTCCTATGTTAGCATTTGAAGTGCTTAGAGATGCTGGAACGGACACCCATCAGTCTCGCCAGGTGCTTCCCAGCGAACACAGCTCCTACCACTTCTTGTTGTCATCATGTGTTTTTCTTGGCAGCAATGTGGACCCGACAGCTGTTGTGATCCTCAAAGCTGTGTACTAAAACCAGGAAAGGAGTGTGACAGCCAATCTCCCACATCAACCTGCTGTGAAGCTTGTAAGGTGAGATTTAATTTTAGTAACATGTTATAAGTACATAATGAATCATGTGCAGGATATATTCAAACACAAGACTACAGTTGTATGTCAGAACACATTACTTTTTAAGTAAAGAAAAATAATAAATTAGGAATCCATTTCTTTGCATGTGTTTTTGAGATGGTGTCTCTCTGTAGCCTCAGCAGGTCTGGAGCTCATTGTGTAGACCAGGCTGGCCTCCATCTCACAGAGATCAGCATGCCTCTGCCTCCCCAGTGCTGGGACTTAAGGGGTGCCACCACGCCCACCTAGAACCCATTTCTGATTTAGTGAGCTTTTCTTCTACGTTGGACTTTTTGTCTTTTATCAACATGCTCATTGACTTGAAGTGGTTTTCCTTCTTCCTTTTGTTTTGAAGGCAGAGTCTGTCTAGCCATCCTCTGCTGTCCTTGAATTCATTTGGTGGTCCTGGCTGGCCTTGAATTTACAAACCTCCTGCTTCAGTCTCCCACGTAGCTGGAACTAGAGGACTGCAGAGGTGCAGCAGATAGTTTCCAAAGAGGACTAGGCATTATAAAGATTGAAGTATGGACTTATTTTCAAAGAAAAGACCATTTTACTGAGAGGTCACCTGGGGAGTGCTGTTCCCTCTTGGCCTTGCAGCGTCCAGTGCACTTGTCATGTGCTCCAAGGACACCGTTGTTGAACTGCCTGTACTTCATCTTACTCACTGTTCCCCGCTGAGTTTTCCCAAGATGCACATTGTATGGTTTTAGTGTTCTTCTGTAGACTTTTAGTGCCAAATGAACTAGTCAGTTAGGAAGTATGAGGTAGATTCTCCTTACGATTGATGTGAACTTTCAGAATTCTGTATCTGAAATAAATAACTCATGGTAGCATGGTGCGGGAGAAAGGTAGCAGGCGGGCTCGGTGCTCAAAGCTTCCCAAGGTGCAGTGCTTCTTCGGTCACTGTCCTGTTTCCCTCCACTCTTCTCCGTTACTTGCTTGACATTTGTCGTAGAATTGTAAGGATCCCATACTTCAAAGTGTGGTATGAGCGAGTATATCTTTTTGAAAATTGACTTAAGTAAAATATTTTCACTCTGAAGGAGCGATTTCCAAAGCTGAATGTAATCCTTCCCCCTTGTAGTGAAAGCATAAAGCTTTGTGTGTGTGTGTGTGTGTGTGTGTGTCTGTACATGTATGTGTGCGTGTGTGTGTGTGTGTGTGTGTGTTGGAATGCACTCGCCTGTGCATGTGGAGGCCAGAGGCTGATGTTAGGGCGTTTTACATCTGTCATCTCTCCACTTCATTTCTTTGAGACAAAGTTCTTACTAAAGTTGAAGCCCATGCCTTCAGTTAGACTGGTGGCTGCTGAGCCCCTGGGGTCCTTTGTCTCCACCTACCTCCCCAGCTCCCAGGTTCCTGGAACATGCTGTTGTGTCCAGTATGTGAGTTCTGGGGATCTGAACTCAGGTCCTCATGCTCCCCAGCAAACACTTTACCCACTGAGCCATCTCCCCAGCTGAAACCTTCTTTCCACACAAACATTTGCCTCATTTTTAAATGAGTAATACTTATGCCAAGAGATGAATGGACACAAATGAATCAAAAGTACAAATAATCTGGGCTGGAGAGTTGGTCCAGCAGTTATGAGCACTGGCTGCTCTTGCAGAGGACCTGGGTTCAGTTCCCAGCACCCACATGGCAGCTAACAACTGTCCTTAACTCCAGTTCCAGGGCATCTGACAATGCCTTCTGACCTCCATGGGCATTGCCTGACACGGGTGCACTTACATACATGCAAGCAGTACACTCATATACACAAAATAAAAATAATAAAGTATTTTTAAAAAATTACAAATAATCCATGAAATCCTGATGAGTACAGTAGTGTTACATGTAAGGCTAATTTTACATTATTTTCCTGTTAGTTTTTAGCAAAAGGCCAGGAATGCAGGCCTGCAAAGCACAGAGAATGTGACATCCCTGAGTTCTGCAATGGCAGCACAGCAAGATGCCCGCCTGACATAACTATACAAGATGGAAACATGTGCAAAAAAAATAGTTTTTTTTGTTATGATGGAGATTGCCATGATCTGGACGCACGATGTGAGCACCATTTTGGAAAAGGTAATTTTTGTTACATCTAAGTAGCTGGTACTCAGTATTTCTATTAACAGTACCAGAAGAGCCGGAAACACAGACTTCAATTTTTTTTTAATATTTGCATAAGCTTTTACATCTTTAATAGAGTATAATTGTCAAATAAAAATTGCCTTTGGGTATATGACTTGGTATTTTGATATATGTATGTATTTGGAGATAGTCACCATAATCAAGCTCACTGAAGTACCTGTCTCCTGTAGTTATTATCTTCTGTTTGAAACATCTTGTGATCTGCCCTTGTCACAAATTCCGGGTGCAGAGCAGCACTGTTTCAGGTGGTCATGTTCTTCTCTTTCTGGTGAACTTGGCTGTTTCGTAGAAATCAAACGTGGAAACTCTTGACCATATCCTCTCTGGAAACCACGATTTCTCTGTGTTTCTGTGAATTTGACATTGTTTTCACATGTGAGATGATGTAGTATTTACCTCTCTGTATCTGAGTAATGTCACTCAGTACAATGTCCTCCAGAGTCATTCTTGTTACAGATAGCTTCATCTATGCTGGGACAGAACATTTCATTCTGTCTCTCTCTGTCATTTATCTACAAATCTATCATCTATCTATCATCTACCTATCATTTATCTTTCTATCTGTCATCTATCTTTTATCTTTCTATTATTATCTATCATCTGTCTTCTATCATCTATCTATCTATCTATCTATCTATCTATCATCTATCTATCTATCTATCTATCTATCTATCTATCTATCTACTATCATCATCATCTATCATCTATCTATTCATTTATTTTCTATAAATCATTTTTTAAACTTTAAACAATTTTTTATTTATTATTTTTATTTTATGTGTATGCGTGTATTGCTTGCATGTAGGTAAGTGCACCTGTGTCATGCAATGCCTGCAGAGGACAGAAGAGGCTGTTGGATCCCCTGGGACTGGAGTTATGTACAATTGTTAGCTGCCATGTGGGTGCTGGGATTCAAACCCAGATCTTCTGCAAGAACAACCAGTGTTCTTAACTGCTGAGCCATCTCTCCAGCCTCCTATAAATTATTTTTAACACATTAATTTTTCTTTTTTTTACATTTTTAAATTAATTTTTTGTGTGTATTTCATATAGAACTTCCTAAACAATCTTTATCATCTTTATATCCCCATCCCAAATGGCATCCTCCCATAGGACCCCCCCCCACTGGAGTCCATATACTCTGTCATCCCTGTTACTGCTCAGTGTGTTGTCAGTGCTCCCAGCATTTCCCCAGTGCAAGTCCATCTGCTGAGTCTAGTCAGCCTATCTAGAATCATCCCTTGTTTTAGGAAGGTCAGCTCTTCTTCCATCTAGCAGCAATCAGTTGCCAACATTCCTTTAGATAAGATTGGCGTCTGCTGTTCATTTTTCCAGTTCTATGTTGGGATACTGTCTGCCTGAGTTTGCATGGTACTTGTGTATGCTGACGCCATTGCCATAGAATCATATGAGCAGATTCCCAGGAGCTTGTATTACTCTGTTCCCATATGGTCAGGTCCATCCTCCCTGGCTCTTACAGTTTCCCCTCCCTCTTCTGAGATGGTCCCTGAGCCTTGGGTGGATAAAGTTTAATAAAGGGGTCCTGTCCAAGGACCATTATTTTGCAGACTCTTGAGCTCTACACTTTGGCCATTTGTTACCTTCTCTGTTCCTGGCCCTCTGCTGTCTGAGGGAGCTTCATTACTGAGAACTGATCCTTAGTGTCCTTTATCCCCGTTCTATGCTCCATGAGCCTTAGGTGTAGAGGTTGCATTGCAGATGTGTCCCTTAGGCCTGGACAAGTCATAGACAAAGTACATGTGTGACCAGTTGTAGTACTTGGTATTAGTCTCTGACTACTGCAAAATGAACTTTTTTGATGAATGGAGGCTGGGATACTTGTCTGTAAATAGAAGGATACATATTTTTCATATAGTAAGAAATCACATCAGTCTAGTGATGTGAGAGTTTTGGGGGTTTTGCTAAGATCTATGACCACTCCAGCCCTGTGTATTAGGTTATATTACAGTACCACACTTGAGTTTCCTCCCTTTGAGTGGGCTTTTAGTCAAATTGGGTAGGTGTTGATTGCCCCCAAGACAAAAGTGCCACTACTGCACCAATGGAGTATGCTGTGCTGGCCATTGATGTGGTTATTTGGTCTTGAAGCTGGTGCTGGCTCATCCACTGATGTTTTCCCTTGGCACCTTCATACCGCTCTCCAAAGCCATGAGAGCTGCCTTCAGGGGAAGTGGTTTCAGGTCAGTTGCAGCTCTATTTCTCCAAATCCTGTGTCTGACATATGCTCTGTCTTCGGCAGTAGGGTCTTACCTTCGAGTTCTGGGAGGCCATCAGGGGCTATGGCAATGGCCTGAGTAATTTTGGGAGTCTCTTGGGCCACTCTGGCCAGCAACTCAAAGGAAAGTATCTCCTGTCTGGCATGATTTCTTGTTATGTAGACTTTAGCTATACACGTAGACTCATGTAGAGATAATGTATGTATAATTTGTCAGTAGATTGTTGGACTAATATGGTTCCCTCTGGCTTTCTAAAACTAGCTAGGTATTATTTATCTCTCTCACTGTCTAACCCTTCCACCATGGTTTCCCCATTTGAAGTGTCCCCATTTCCCCCGTTTCTCCTTTGATAATACCCTTCTCCTATGGTCGCACTTCTCTTGACCTCTTTCTTTCCCTTTATCTCCAAGGTTCCTTATATAACCCTCCCTCCCCCTTTCATTTAAATAACCACATTTTTATCCATATTTCCCTTAGTAACAGAATTGTTTCCTACTGTTCTTCTCTCTCAGGTTCTTTCTTTTCCTTTACTTCCCTGGTTCCTTTTCATTATCTTGGTACCACATTTTCACTATCCACTCATCAACTGAGGGACACTTAGGTTGCTTCCACCTCTTAGCTATTATGAAAAGGGTAGCAACAAACATGGATGTACAAGTGTCTCTGCAATAGGATGAGTTTTTTGGGTATATGCCAAGGAGTGGTATAACTGGGTCAAATGGTAGGTGCATTTGTAGTTTGTTAAGGGTTCTCCACACTGCTTTCCATAGGGGCTGAACCAGTTTGCAGCCCCACCAGCAGTGGATGAGTGCTCCCCTTTCCCCACATCCTCTTGAACATTTGATATCATTTGTTCTCTTGATAATAACTATTCTGAACAGGGTGTGGTTTCTTAGCCATCTTTATTTCTTCTTTTGAGAACTCTCTGTTTAGATCTTTAGCCCATCTTTTAATTGGGTCATTTGTCTCTCGATTCTTTGTTTTTTGACTTCTTTATATATATTCTGGATGTTAAACCTCTGTCAGATGTGTCACTGATAAAGATTTTGTCCCATTCTGTGGGATTTCTCTTCACTTCCTTGGTTGCTTCATTTGATGTATAGAAGCTTTTTAGTTTAATGAGGTCCCATTTGTTGATTCTTGACCTCATTTCCTGAGCAATTAATGTCAGGTTTAGAAAATCCTTTACTGCATCTCTATCTTATAGGTTATTTCTGTCTATCTATCTATCTATCTATCTATCTATCTATCTATTATCTATCTATTATCTATCTATCTATCTATCATCTATCTATCTATCTATCTATCTATCTTCTACCTACCTACCTACCATCTATCTATCATCTATGTTTCTTCTATCATCTATTCTACCTTCTATAAATCACTTTAACACATTCATTATTCTCTTACTTGTTCATTTGTTTCAAAGTCTTGGGTATTATGAATTATGAAATCAGTAGTCTGGACAGACATACATCTCTGCAAAAGTGCTTTCATTTCATTTGAATGCACTAATGTGGTTCTCTGAATAAGAAGAGAGTTCTTTTGTGAGTTTTTGAGGAAGCTCTGTACTATTTCCCATGGATTCCACAGCACTTTATCTGTTACCTGCCCACCAGCAGGTACCTGACTTCCTATTCATTCCTGGTACTCTAAATTGTTCACGTTTGGATTTTTTTGTCACGCATCCTAACAGCTGTGAGGCAATATCTCGTTTTGATTGTTCTTTCATATTTTCCTGATGCTCAGTGATGCTGAGCAATCTTACCCTACACAGTAGGCTCCCCTGTGACCTGCACTGGTATGCTGAGAAGAGGACAATGGGATCTTTGCCAGATTGGCTACCAGCAGACATCTTCCTCCTATGCTCCTGGAAAGGGAAACCAGAAGTACACCTCTCCACCTTGCCAAGAGGCTCCCGTTGTCCAGCTTCTAGAATATGGGGCGGCCACTCACAGCCCCATCTAAAACCCTGACCCCAAACATGGCTTCTCTCTTGTACCCACTACGGCCTCCGGCTCTGCAATCACCCCATTCTGGCTCGTGTTTCAGATGCCAGCACTGTGGCCATACTCTGTATCCCCCAGCTCTTCAATTACTCGGGAAGGGGTATTATGTCCCTGAGCCCTGGTGTCTCTTATTGCCCTCAGCTATGGGTCCCCACTCTGTAGCTATTCCACAGATACTCAGAGATTAGACACTTGAACTACAGTCACAGAAAACTAGCCAACTCCCTCGCAACTGAACTTGGAGCATCTTGCATGGCTGTCCTCCATATCCTGGAAAAGGCTTAACTCTCCTGTGTGCAAGAGGCTCACTTCAGCTTTAAGGGTGTACCTAGCATGACATGAAGAAGGGAAGACATCCTGTCATATACGATAAACCAGTCAGCTCAGCAAGAAGCTGCAATAGTGGTACATGATGTACACTTGACATCAGAGCACCTAAGCATATAAATCAAGTGTGAAGAGAAAGAGAGACCACAATACATAAGAGCAGGGACATCAGTCCAGCACTTTGAGCAATGGATAGATTATTCTGACAGAAGATCAGTTAGGAAACCGTATTAATTACCTTTTCCAGTTCTGTGAAGAAAACATCTCATCTCATCTCTTTATGGGAATTTTAAATTGCATCCATCTGTAGTGTTTTTGGAAAAATGTTGGATCGGTTGTCCCTTGTTCAATAAAAAGTTTC